CACACACACACACACACACACACAGAGAGAGAGAGAGAGAGAGAGAGAGAGAGAGAGAGAGAGAGAGAGAGAGAGAGAGAGAGAGAGAGAGGATTATGGGAACCTTTTCCAAATCGGGTAATTGCACGGAAGGTGGGAACAAGGTGTCTTTGTTTCGAGCAAGGTTTACCCGAAGGCAGGTATGGATGCTGTTGGCGGCGTGGATAGCAGTGATCCATCTGACGTATAGAGGTACCTATGTAGGACTGAGTCCTAGGCGCAGTGATGATCACCGTCGATTGGATCGAATCAATGGACGAGAGTTCAAGATTGCCACAATGACTTCAGACGGCTTTGAAGCTTATGATGTTCTCGGTGCTCATGCCGGCAGGCCCGGCACCACCCCTGGCCCCCATGAATCAGGTCTTGTTCATCGCCAAGATTCCTCTGATCTCCACAATGACTCCAATCAGAGTGCCGCTGACGTGGAAGGTACGGCCGGGCCTGCCGTGGGCGGCGGAGGCGATTCGGTGAGGCAAGATTCAGGGAACGAGGCAGTCGTGGCCGCGGGGGACCGAGCAGGACAGAGTACTAGATGGACACGTGAGCAGGGCAACACCGGCAGTGGAGAGGACTTTCGGGCTTCCCGTCTTACTAGGAGTACGCCTGATGTTGTGGGGACAGTGGGGTTATTACCGGAGAGGAGACCGACTTTACCGCGTGCAGATTCTGCTGGTCAACCCACCTCTTCTCAGCCTGAGGTGGGATTGAAGCCTTTGAAGGTGAAGGAGAGGAATCATGCCTCTCGATCTGTTCCTCGACGGGCTGCCTTGCCGCCTGACGTGATGATAGGTGTAGGTGATGAGACGTGGACGGAGGAGGAGAAGGTGGAAGAGGAGGGGTGCACCACAGGCTACGGACTCCAGCCGTTCCTTGAAAGGCTTGCTGAAAAGGACACGATTATCATTTGTACAGTGAATTGGGGGTTCAGGTCTTTCTTTGTGAACTGGCTGATCTCTGTGAAGAAGGTGGGGATGGCGGGCAATGTGCTGGTTTTCGCTGAGGATATGGCTTCTTGGCGTTATCTGGAGAAGCACTGGCCCGGGCACTCAGTACTCTTCTGCAGCGACTACGACCGCTGGGCCAGCTCAGACAACCTAGCAGATCCAGCAGCGACGCGCTCTACCAAGTCGGCACGACGAGTAGAGAAAAAATCAGGAGTCCAGTACTTCAAATCTGAAGGGTACGGCAAGCTGGTCAATCGACGGCCGTTTCATATCCTTGCTTGCTTGCGTCACGGGTACTCCGTGCTGTACACAGACATCGACACCGTCTTCGTGAAGAACCCTTTTTCATACATCTTGGGGCAAATGGGAAAAGGAAGAGGAGGAGGCGGTGGTGGAGCGGAAATGAGAGTAGGAGGAGGAGATGGACAGGGAGAGAGGTACGGAAGAGATCAGTCGTCGTCAGGAGAAAGATCGAGTGCAAATGGCAGCGACGTAGAAGGAGAAGAAGAAGGAGGCGCGCGTGGGGGAGATCGTAGTGTTCACGATTTCGACGGAGCTGGAGCGTGGGATGGTCCTGTGAAGATTACTCCTCAGTTTGACGGTCTGTTTCATGGATGTGACGCCCTTCCAGCAAATTTCAATCTCTCACTACTGAACTACTGCACTTATCTTCTCTTCTTCCAACCAACTCCAGCCTCGATGTTGCTCATGCGGCAATGGATTTTTCATATGAGGCCTGTTCCTCTGCCAGATGGTTCGGTCAATCCTCCCTCCAGAAATCAGCTCGCGTTCAATTACGCTGTGGCGGATCTTCTGCAGGGCTTTCACATCGAGACGAAGGCGACCAAGTCATCATCATCATCATCATCATCATCATTATCAGAAGAGCATCCGTCTTCTTTCAACCTCCGAATGCGCACTCTTCCCAACAGAGTATTTCCATCGGGGTACACGAGTCTGGTAGAAACGGACAAAGCGAAGTGGGCAGGCAACGGAGGAGAGCTCGTCGTCTTTCACGCGAATTATCATGTAGGGCTTGTTGACAAGAGAAGGTTCCTACAGAAGAACAGTTTATGGTTGGTCAGTGAAGATCCTGACGGGAATGTGCAGTGGCCACTCACCAGCAGTCGCTCCTCTCTCTCTCTCTAGTTTGTTTTGTTTTGTTTTCAATGTTTTTTTTTTTTTTTTTTCAATTTCTATTTTTAACAAAGGCTTGCGTTACTGCTGGTCGCCCGCATGCTGCGAGCAATGAAAAAAATAAGAGGGAATGCCGACCCTGCGCTCTGAGGTTTTCCAACTCGTTGTTGGCCCAGGGAATTCGTCAAGTTGACCCTCTGCTCTCAGACTGGAGTTTTGTACAGATCCTGGACTCCTGGATCATGACGAATCATTGTCAATTATTGTCAATTATTGTCAATTATTGTCAATTATTGTCAATTGTTGTCAATAATGTGCTGCAGCTGTGGAGTTTCGAGCTCAGCTACTGGATGTTGTTCCTCCATTTCATTACAGTAACTTTTTATGTACATAGATAGAGTTCTGCCAGACTGTTGATGAAGAGGACGATTTGGATGAAGCCATTGAGTCAGTTGCCTTTTTTTTTTTTTGTCTTTCCGCCCTACAACCGTTACGGTTGAAGTGAGCAGAGGGAGGCTCTATCAGGCAGGCGGGCCGGATATTCTTGGTCCAGTCGTACCCAAAAATCAGCAGCTATCTTTTTTTTTTTTTTTTTTTTTTTTTTTKTTKGGACAAMAAATGCTCCAATCTATTCGTGGGTGGTTGGCTCACCCGCATTGTCCAGAATTCGTCAATTCCCCGGAAGATCCCGGGGCAGGTTATCCTGCTAAAGATGGCCTATATTGGGAAGGGCTTTCCGGTGGGCCTGTTTGTTAAGGTCCTGGGCAACTTTGCGGGGAAGAGGGGTCCGGTCTGTTACCTGACAGCAAGCCTGGTGCGTCATTTTTTACCGTAGAACTTAGTCGTGTCACTTTGTTTCTGGGGATGTGGAAAGAGGGTGGGGACGAAGGGATGGGACGCCCATGATGTGAATACTTCCAATAGGACATCCGGCTATGGGGTTTTTTGCTGTTGTCCACTCTGTGCGACTGCGTGCTCACTTGTGTGCGTGGATGAATTTGCCCACTCTGTGCGACTGCGTGCTCACTTGTGTGGGTGGATGAATTTGCCCGTGCTTTGAGGGCCCCTGCTTGCAATGGGCTTTTGCAAGACATTCTTTTTTGTAATCTTTTTAATTACAAGACATTCTTTGCAAGAGGCACATATTACATCCGAGATACTTCAAATTTCTATTTTTACACATCTGTTACTATATATCTAGTAGTGTAATACATTTATATTTCATTAGTATAAATGAAATTAAAATAAATCATAAATAAAATGTATAATGTAAATTATGTAATTAGTAATTACTAATTACTATTTTCCTATGAAGCATTAATTACATTATGCTACGATAACTTTTTTTTTCAAAATAAGTAAATTTTCCATAAAATTAAGTCGAGATATTTTAAACTCCTGTTTTTACACATGTATTATGATCATATATCTATTATTTTAATACATCGTATTTTACTAGTATAAAATTAAACAAAATCTATAATGTAAATTATTATGTAATTAATATTTTCCTATGAAACATTCGTTACATTATGCTATCATAATGATACATATATTTTTTCCTAAATATAACTCTCTTTTTCCATAAAATTAAGAGAAATCGTTTTCGTGTTCTCCCCCCCCCTCTTATTTTCTCGTTAAATTTTCCTTGTGGTGAGGTATTCGAGATGATCTCCGCACGGGGGTGTGGCCAACACGGGGGTGGGCAGTACCAATATCCACCTCCGGGTACGGAGTAGCAGCGTGGCAACAGCGTCAAGCGGCACATATCTGGGAGGAAGAGGAGGAGGAGGAGGAGGAGGAGGAGGAGGAGGAGCGTAGCAAGCGATGCAGAGAAATCTGGGAGGAACAAACCAGCACGGATGCCCGATGGCATCAGGCACGCCGGATATCGATCGATGCATGTGAACTCAAGATTACAGGTGAACGGAGATCGATCGATGCAGGGGGTCGGGACCGTCGGGGATATCCCAGAGAATAACAATCTGCTCTGCTCAGGGCGATTGTTGGTCGGGAGTGCAAACGGAATTATTATGGAAATTGACGACCAGGTGAAGGGAGATCGATCGAGGCAGGGGGTCGGGGATATCCAGGATAAGAACAATCTGCTCTGCTCAGGGAGATTGTAGATCGGAGGAAATCACGGAAGGGGCAAACGGAATTATTATGGAAA